CGGAAGTGGTGCTGTGGCTCAAGTGGTAGAGCGCTAGCCTTTAGCTTAAGAGCTGAGGGACAGCGCCCAGGTCCAGAGTTCAAGTCCCACGACCTGTAAAAGAAAAAAAGAGTCTTGCCAGTGTATTTTGGTGGGGAAAGGAGGATTAAGTTTATATGATTAGTGTTAGCCAGGCTCCTATAAGGTGGTTGAGAATCTCTCATCTGGTTCCCGAATTGGCCTACTAGGACTATCTTGTGTTGTGTTGTGAGATTGGGGATTAGAGGCATGAGCTGCATTTTGTGTTAGGCTTGGAGAGAGAGAGAGATATGCCTTTCATTGTTTCATTTCTTTACTCCTGGGCTGATAAATCAGTTTACTTTCTTCTTTTGTTACCATAGACCATTTCCAGAACTAATAGTAGTACTTAGTTGGGGACAAGTAGGAGAAAGTAGATCCATGTCATCTCATTCAGTTGAAGAGTCTGCATTTCCATTTTGCCTTTAATTCTTGAGCACTAGAAACGTGTGTGTGTGTGTGTGTGTATAAACAAATAGGTGTGGCAAAATGATCGAGATGATATGGCTATCTTTGCAGCTACCTGAATTACTATATTTTCTTTTCTGAACATGATAGTCATTATATTCAGTGGAGATAAGTATAGCATTTAGAGACTATAAGAAAAACATCTTTCCCACATGTGGAGAAAAGCGAAGGAACGATGGGACAGAATTGCAGTGAACTTAAATCACTAGAAATAATTGGTGTGCACAAAATCTGAATGATTTGATTTAAGAACACGTGAACTAAGACAAAAAGGCATCAATAAATAATTAAAAGAAGTTCCTATTCCTTATTTACTCTCACTAATTCCTAATGATATTCAGCATGTTTGCTAATCCATGAACCTGTCTTTACTTCCTTTGGGTTCTGTCTCTTTTTTAAAACAAAAACAAAACTACTGATAACTTGATTGCAACATTTCAATCTAGGATAGAAGCGATTCTGGGAGATGTTGTTCCTTAAATGGACATAATTTGAAATCCCCGTTGGGTTTCAATTCCTAGGCTAATGAGTTTGCTCCTCTGTTTTAGTTTAGCAGTACGATGACCTCCTCTGAAGTATGTATCTTGCAATCCATTTTTGGATGATTGCAGTTTCTGCAGAACTTGGTCTTTAATAACCAAGTTTATTTCTCCTTAGTTGTTTTGAGTAATCATTTCACTTCTTTTTCCTGGGTCTGCAGAGGTTCAATGTAAATTGAGACTATGCATTTATGAGTGATCAGTCACTGAGCTATTGCCACACACGGTCTTATGTCTTCTGTAAATGTTTCATCTGTGAAAATCTCATCTTCTCAGCACTATGCCTCCCTGGGCTTCATCTTTAAAAAAAAAAGAATTGAAAACAGTTTGGTTTAAGAATCCTGTCATTTTTAATGAATAAAGATTTGAATATTTGTTATTAATCACTTCAGAGAGAAAAATGTGATACAGAGGTCCCTCTGAGACGAAACTTTACATCTGAATGTTTCAGTGGGAGTTGAGTGGTTTATAAATATACAAGCTCAGGCTTACAGTTAAAATGGAGCAATGTAGGTGCGTTATTTCCTAAGGGATCTCTGGTACTTAAAATGCCACCTGCTAGGCAATTTTGCTCATTTCACTTGTATTTATTTTTCTAAGTCCATGTTCCTCTTTGAGATATTCCCTAGAAATGAAATGTTAACAATCTTATATCTCTTCTCTTCTCTCCTCTCCTCTTCTTTCCTCCCTTCTTTCTCCTCTCCTTCCTGTCCTTTCCCTCCTCCTCTTTTTCCTCCATCTCCTTAATCTATCCCTTCTTTCCCTCATCTCCCTCCTCTTCTCCGTTTTTCTTACTAGTATCAGTAGTGTGTGTGTGTGTGTGTGTGTGTGTGTGTGTGTGTGTGTGTGATTGTAAAACTCTTCAAGTTTTGATTTTGGTTGGTCCTGGGGCCTGAACTCTGGGCCTGGGCGTTGTCCCTCAGCTCTTCAGCCCAAGGCTAGTGCTTTACCACTTGAGCTACAGTGCAATTTCCAGTTTTCTGGTGGTTTTTTAGAGATAAAGTTCTCACGGACTTTCTTGCCCAGGCTGGCTTTGAATCCTGATCCTCAGATCTCAGCCTCCTGAGTAGCTAGGATTACAGACTTGAGCCACCTATGCCAAGCTAGTTTTTTTTTAAGTAGATCATGTTACCACATTGTTACAGTTCTTCTTTTGTATATACTCCCCATTCAAAAACCCAATCTTCCCCCATACAGGGATGCATAGAACACATCAGATATACCATGAACACCACATAAAAGTTCCTATAAGGATGAACTTGCCAGAAACATCTCTGTTTTTATCACTGTCTACTTAATTTTTTTAATTAAGAAATTTTAATTGTTATTATAAGGTTGATGCACAGAAGAGTTACAGTTATATAAATCCGGTAATGAATACATTTCTTTTCGGACAATGTCACCCTTCTTTGGCTCTCTCATTCCCACTCACAAATTGTATAGTTCATTTTCAACTTAATTTCTACACTATCAATGTTGAACTCAACACTTTATACTCATTTGGCTTGATTGCAGGATTAGCCTCTGACACTTGAGCAATACTTCTAGCCTAGCTTTCTGGTAGTTATTTTGGAGTATCATCAACATTTTTTCTCAAGCTGACTTTGAATTGCCATTCTCTGGCTCTTCATCTCCTGAGCAGTTAGAATTACAGGCTTGAGCCACTAGCACCTGCCTATCCTCTGTTTTCTCAAAGTTTTCCATTATTTGTTATGAATAATAATACTTTTTGAATGCTCCATAATTTGTAAATTAAGTGGGAATTGTGGAATCTTCTATCAATGATTAATTTATCAACAGAGAAGGTTGTGAGTTTTTGGGATGCCACATTCCTCTTACATGCTAGGAATGAAAGTTTGACAAGCCAGTTGGCTTGGATAAAACCAGGTGCAAAAAATAGACACCAGGATGCTGCGAATCTTCCTTTAACTTGTAGTTATGGGAAAATTTAAAAGCAGAGAGATTGAAATAATATTGTGTTACTGAAATATATTGTTTCTTGATGAGGCATAATATAAAACTGAAAACTAAACAATGTTGGAAGATTTAAATGCTTCTTACGTAACTTTGATGCACTTTCATCAGCTTATCTATACAATCAAATGTAGGCTTCTGATTGTCAATTATTTTATTTGCTACAAGTCCCAAAGAACATTGTACACACGATCACAATTTATTTAAAAAGTAATCTGAATGTTCAAGACAACGAAATAAGCTAATAGAATGCCCACCACCACAATTATTCAATCTACATCATAGGTGATTTGCTTCTCAGATGGATAAACTCAAAATACTGGTTTCCCTAGATAAATACACATGATTGCATGATTTCATTGGGGAAATTGAATAGGAAAAAGATTATGACTCAGTCTTGAATTGTGCTATGCACAATTTTCACTTGGATGCTCCATCATCACATCAAATTCCACTTATCCAATCTGAACTTGGTATTTGTCTTCAGAATGGGGCTTTATTCCCAATTTTCCCATTTCTACAAATATTACAACTACTCTATGTGTTTCCCAAAGGCCTAATTTGAGTTCTCTGCCTTTTTTTATTTCTTTAACTTCTTTGTTATGATACCTTGACAAGTCTTCCCTTCCATAGCTATAGGGTTAGTTTTCTTCACACTGTGATCAACTCATTTTGGTGTGTTTATCTTTTCCATTTACTCAATATGCCTAAATATATGCCCTGAATATCTACTATGTGTGAGGCACTACACTAGGGCCTGAAGGTAGATACAGTAAGTGAGCAATGAAAGAAGAGGTCCTTGCCCACACCATTTAGTGAGGAAGACAGACATTAATAAGTATATAAAAAGACAAGGAAAATTGCAGCTGTGACAAGAACTATAATGAAGGGGAACATGGTGACATAATAGTCTTGAATATATTAGTTTGTTCCTGTCAATGAGGTCAGGGAAGGAGCTGAGATCAGAAGGATGAATAGAAGTCAATCAAATGAAGAAAGACTGGGAAAGTGTTCTAAATAGTGGCAACAGCACATGCAATGTTCTTGTGGTAGACAATATTCTACTATGTGAGGAAATTATTAAAACTTCTATTTGTATTTCTAATGTGATGTCCTTTTGAAATTTTTATTTCTATATGGTGATGTTCAAGATATTTTAGTCCTAAGGTTCTAGATAAAATCATTTTCAATCTATAGTATTTAAACGAATAATAGAAAAATGATCATGTCCTCCAGGTATAGTGATATGGTAGGCTAAGGCAAGAGGACTGCACATTTGAGGCCAGTTTGGACTATGAAAGAGAGGAGATATTCCTAAGGAAAGGAAGGAGGGAAGAAGATGATGATACCAAAGTCAAGTTGATTTTTTGTACACTTATTGAGTTCTAGAGTCTAATAGTAGTGTTTGATACTCATTAACTATGAGGTATGTGTTATTATAATTCTTACATTACAGAGGAGTATATTGAAGCACAGAGAAACTAAGTAACTAGTCCGCAGATATAAAACAAGTGATGAAGCCAGGAGTTAAAACTGCATGTATTTTTTGGTCAGTCATGGGGCTTGAACTCAGGGTCTAGGCACTGTCCCTGAGCTCTTTTGGTTACTGCTCTATCATTTTGAGCCACAGCACCTCTTCTGGTTTTCTGGAAGTACTTGGATCCTTGCCCAAAGCAAATCATCTTCATCAGTGTACCACTGTAGCTTGTGTCCCTTTTCTAGGAGTACCTATATTTCTCATGGAGAGATTATGCAATGGATGTCCTCATACTAATTAGTTAACCAGGGCTAGGGTTTTATAAGGAATACATAGCTTTTTTTATAAAGTAGAAAATCATCCTATGACAAACAGGAATCAAGTTGGCTTGATTATAGTTGTGATAATAAAGCTCATCTTTAAAGAATTGTCTTTGATTTCTAAGATTGATCCCACATTAACATATGCTTTCTCATTTTTTTCAGTTGTTTCTGAAAATATGACAGTTCAAGAAACAAGTACAACTCTTTCACAGCAAATACATTTGACAACTCCTTCCCAAATTACTGCACTAAGCCCACAAAAGACTATATATTCCTCTACAATAATGTCTAAAAGCATGCCTATATTTATAACTAATCATACAAATATATCACATTCCAATACAACATCTCCACCTCTGGTCACAATGACTCTATCAAAAAGTTTGAAGACATCTATAGCTGACACAGCTACATTTACAAATGTTTTATCTAATTCCACAATGATCACTCTGCCTTCTCAGAGTACACTCAACTGTACTACCACTGATTCCATGAAAATAACAGAACACTCATCTTCAGAAAGCACAAGGACAACAAAGATGGTAGAAGCCGTGGCTCCTGAGACATTTCAACCAACTAGAGCTACACATCTCTTTTCTATACCAGGAGTTACCATTAATCCATTTTTATCTAAAACTTCAACTGACTCTCAGACAACCTCTATGAACACATTATTTACAACTATCAAGTCAACATTCATGTCTGCAACATCCTGGCCTGTACACAAATCCACAGATACTTCAGCACTCCCTATTGCCACACCTACACAAGAATTTCTTGTATCTACAGCTGCCAAAACTTCAGCTGTAACTACTGGGATTGGGACTTCATTGGCCTCCCCAACTGATCTAATCACCTCTACAGATGCTCCAGTGGATTCTGTATTTCCTACAACTCAAGTGCCACCAACATTGGCAACAACTGAAATGGAAATAACATTTACAGTTAATTTAGGAATGTCTACTGAGACCACATCTGGCTCAAGACCAGTGGAAATAGAATGGACGCCTTCACATGTCCACGATGCCTCTTTGTCTAGCAGGGAGGATGCCATATCTACCTTCATGCCCAGACGCACCTCTTCCATGACCCTTTCTTCCATGATGGCTCCACCAATCACTGGAACTCAGAGTACACAGACAGTTACTGATAATGAGGGCTCCTATACAAGCTTTACTCCTAGAATCACACTTTCACCTACATTGGTTGAAACTACGCCTTCCCTGACCATTGCAGGGTCTGAATCCACCCAAAATACATCCAAAGCTGGGGAACACATGCTTACTTTGATTTCCACTCAGTCAATTTCCACATCCCAGGCATCTGAATCAGGTTCTACATCTGTTCCTGATGAAACGCCTCATCAGTTCTCAACCAATGCAATTACTTGGACTCCTAAGCCAAACCAGAATCCGTTGACATCTATAAATATGACCACCATACACACATTTGTACCTAATGAAAATTTCACATCAGCATTCCATGGCAATACTACTTATACAGACCATTCATCAACTAGTGATACTACCAGGCTTCCAGAAACATCGACAGAGAGTAAGGTTACCACTAGCACTGATGCTACCACAGTCAGATATACAACAGCTCAATTTAAACAAACAACTCCATGCTTTGCCAACTTGTCCATCACTTCCAGAGCCACATCTGTAACCAATCCGAGTGAATTTAAACTTACCACTTCATTATTGGGAACCATTTCTATGTCCACAGCAGATGCCAGTGAACTTCCTCTAATATCAAGGGAGACAGTAGGTCCACCAGTAGATAAATCTACTGACATGAAACTAAGTTTTCCTACTAGGGAGAGCACTTCTGAGGCCACAAAAACAGAAGCAAATGGAGTAAGCGTAATTGGGAACACAATAGACCTTATATCAAAGTTCCCAACAACCCAGCCATTCAATACCCCTGTGACAAAAAAAGAAACAACTTCTTACTACCTTAAGGGAACATCAACTCTACCAGCAGAAGCTGAAGTTTCTCCATTCTCAGTAATGCTGGAAACAACAGATGAATCAGCACAAATCATGACAGTTTCTGTCACTGCTTCCCCTTTCCCTGATAGGGAAAAATTGACTACCATATTGGATAATAAAACTGTAACACTTGATTTGGGAGGGAGTTGGCATTCAACAAAACTCATGGAAACCACGCCCAAGAGTTCATACAATGGAACTATGGAAATCTTTAATTCGACCCACACCTATACAACACGTTGGATGTCAGAGACAACTGAGAGGAATTCAGCCCCATTGCCCACTTCAGGCAGCACTCAGGCATTTTCCAAACCCTTTATTGCTACCACCACAAGGAAATCAGAAACGAGTTTCACCACTTTCCCTACAGACAGGACAGCTAGATACTTGTCTGCTGGTATCTTTTCTCCACTCAGTGTAGCTACTCATTTCTCCACAACCCCAACACTTATAACCCACATGGGCTCACCACCAATTAATGTCTCTGCTGTAACTTCTAGGGTGGTGTCTGAAGAGACCAAGGTGACCCTACGGGGGCCTCCAACCAGGGATTCTTCCCCATCTACGCTCTCTGACCTTTCCCCTTTGTCATCAGCTACAATAACCACATCATTAGTGCCACCACTGAGTCAAACAGCTTCCATAATCAGCAAAACTATGTCTATCCACAGAGATTCAACCCACACCACTGTAGAGCCCACAGTGACTTCTACCATGATGGCACTCACAGAAGTTCCCTCTCTGACAAAAACTCATGTTCCTTCACAGAATCCCCTTACCCCTGAAACAACTAAGGCTAAGCCCACCCTTTTCCTTCCCTCCACTGACACAATAACTCCACCTGCTTGCACTCTTGGTTTCTCTAAACCTCTTTCTGATCACATTCCTTTTGTGTCTTCTCCTCTTGTGATCTCTACTACATCGCCACCAGTAGCAACTAGACCCATATCTCAAGGGAAGGAGACATCTACCCATGATCTTAGCTTTTTGCATACTTCTGGCGGTGGTGGTGATGTTGTTAGCTTGGCTACTATCACCACAGAGAACTTTGCTGGTGATGAGACCACGCCATTACACACCTCAGCCAACAAGCTTACTACTTCAGTGGACAATCAAATTTCTCAGTCTCCCACAGATCTAGTAAACACACAGGTCTCCACCCACTGGGTGACTGGTACATCTACTTTATTTTCTGACAAACAACAGATGACCATGTCTGTAGGAGAAACTCCTAGAACTATGGAGGTGACAGAAATTTCTTCAGCAAACAGTTCTTTTATTTTCTACTCCCAGAGTACTTCACCTTTGGAAATGACCACTGAAATTTCCAGCCAACAAACATATTTGTCTTCTGAGGTTCCACTTGGGACTCTACCTGATAAGAATTTAGATGTATCTCCCACTTCTGAGAGCCCACAGACAACTCATATCTTAACCTCAAGCAACTCAGTTGACATTGATATTTCAGAAATATATCTCCCTTCACAAGCTCTGACAACCAATTTTGTGTCTCCTGACAGAGAAAGTATAAGTGCCCTTGCTTTGAGCACTCCCAGGACTGCAGAGGTAATAGTAAGTTCCTCCTCTGTGACTCACCCACTTCCCTCTCGCCAGGATACTTCATTTGTAGATAATGCAACTTCCAGGACAACTACGAACACAACGCTTTCATACTTGCCTTCACTTAAGACTCAACCTAAAGTAACTTCAATTGCTTCTTCCATTTCTGAAAGCACACAGACTTACCCTAAGTCCTTGTCTTCTTTCACAACCAGACTACCCAGTGCCAATTTTACAATTATCTCTAATGATGGGACTACTGTAGCTCTTTCTGTTCCAAATGTACTTACAACAATTGGGGAAACTTCTATGGAAAAGTCAATTCCTATTTACCAGATGTCCTCATTGCCATTTAATGCTACTGCCTTCATCTCCAAAAACATTTCTGATACTCCCACAGTATCAGTGACTAGGTCTTCTAAAACCACACAATTGGGTTGTTTGAAAAGTCCCTCTCCAGATACCTCTGGGCTTACGTCTGAGATGTCCACAGTGCCAGTTAATGACCCTTCTTTCTCATCTACAGCTGTTCCTTCTGTCCCTGCTATAACAGGTCAACCTTTGTCAACACTTTTGTCTTCAGTTTCCCCTATGACTACTACAGCCATACAAACATCTACATTGGATGTCATACCTGTGACATATACTGAGCATACTTCAGAACATACCACCATGGCTTCTTCTACTTTCACTAATTCTGAAATGACACAGGTGTCCTCCAAGATCATGCCTACATCTGTTTCCTCTCCAACAAAGCCAAATTTTCCATCTACAAAAACAATTCCAACCACTATTGTGGATAGGACAGTGACTCCACTTATAGATACTATTACTTTCTCTCCACTTCATTCTAAGAACACTGAAGCTATTTCCTCCATTCCACACACCACATTTTCACCATTACTATCAACAACCCAGCAATCATCAGATGAAGCAACAACACTGAGCCTGTTACCTGGGATTACTTTCCGTTCCCAATCTACTGTGAGCAGTGGTAAAATGACAGTTTTTAAACATACTTATTCTGGAATTTCTGTCCCTGAAAATGTGTTTTCACCTACTCCTTCAAACGATCTCCATACTTCTTTAGATATTCAAGTTTCAAAACCATCTTTGACAAGTTTTAAGAGCACTCCTGGACCCACAGAAAATGCACAAACCATCACTACGTACCTTTCCTCGAATACTGGAAAGGTTACTTCCTCATCAAAAAGCACTTTCTTAACTACTGAGCTAACAACAAGTGCCCCATCTGTGAATACTTCTGTTTTATACCTTCCCTGGACCTCATCGAGTGCAAATCTGCCTTCCTCGACATCTCTTCTTTATGCACTTCGTAGTACTGTGACCATGTTGTCTACTTCGAAGACCTCTTTTCCACCTACAGCCCAAATGGTTGAATTTCCAGTTCTGGGAACACAAATCACATCTAGTGATACCCGGTCTCTGCTTACAACTTCTTGGAAGACACCCACAGCTAAAGATTCTCCATTTCCGATTTCCACCAAAACTCTGATGCCTACACCTAAGATAGAAACAGACACTCTACACTTTATTCCTGGGTCTTTGTCAACATTTGCATCCTCTCAGGCTGGTCTTGTCTCTAGTGATGCTATGACAACATTATCAATTCCTACATCAGAAATGCTTCCTACCTTTGGGTTTTCAGAGAACCATTCATTATCAGTATCTTCAAGAGCTCTCCCTACCACCTCATCTGACATCAAGCTTCCATTTGAGAAAACAACCACATCTATAACTTCTGGGACAACCCTCCCATCAAATCCTTCTGCAATTGCTAAGACTGCTACTTTACCCACCCTGACTTGGATCTCATCCAATCTTCCTTCAGGCATGTCCCTGGCAACTGGACCGAATGGTTTTCCTGTTCTAACTGCTCCTGCAGTAGAGGTATCAACACCCACACTTGTAACTCCTGATGTGACATCAGCATATCCATTCCCTAACTTCACACCACCACCCTTTGCTTCTGGAAGCACCATAATCACCAAAACCATGCATGCACCTACACTTGGCAATATTGCTACTGGCTCCCAAGCTTCTTTTTCTATGTCTCCAAAAGACACAGGTGGTGATATATACATTTCTGCATCCCCTGAAACTTCCTCCAGAACCACTGTGACTGACAACTCCAGGACTGGGTCTCAATCTCTATCTTTTAGTGGAGTGAATGTATCACCATCTACAGCTGAACACACTTGGTCTATTGGTTCCATGCTTCTCCCTACTTCCCCAAAAACATTGGCCTGGAACAGATTTCCAGACACATCACCATCATCTCCTTTAATTCTTCCTAAGTCAACATCAAAATCCCTTATTAGCACTAATATATCCACTACTACTAGAGCATTAATTCCACAGGTATCCGCTGGAGTGACACATCCTTCCTCTTTTGAGACAACCTGGCCAGACTCCACATCTACTTTTCTATCCACAGAAGCATTGACTTTATCAGCTGCCACTGCGTCCATAGGTAGTTTGTTCCTTTCTGTGCATCTTGCTAACAGAATGTATGAATTATAGACCATGTGTTCTCCAAGATAGTTTTCTGAAGGCAGAAATATAGGAAGAAGGGTATGAATTTTATATGTCCTTCAGACAGTGAGTAAAATAGCTGACATCCAAACAGAATTGTCTATCCACGTTTCTTGTCTTTATTGAAATATAAGGCAAATGCATCTTTTAATTCAGTGCAACATTTCAAAGCATCTTTTCTGCTTGCTTTGTTCTTATGTTAACACAGATTAGCAACCTTATACTTACCAAGAAAGAGGACTATATGGCCTTAGGGATGATCATATTAACCATATACCAGAAAATACCAGAAGATAGCCTATCTTTCCTTCTCATGTTGGTCATAGATTTATTTAATCCCAACTATCTAGGAAAATTTATCCATAACCAGGGTGTATGTGGTTTCCTTATATTTCAAATTTTAATCATTCCTGCAATTTTAACATTTCAAAACAGAAACATAGCAAGATACACAAGATCAAGAGGGGGATAAGGAGAAAAATCTCCAAAGCAAAAAGGAAGGCTTGAGAGGGGGAAATAGTTATTTCTTCAGGACAAATGATCTTCTGAGATAATGTTCAGGTTGAACATTGAATGGGCTAGGAATGTATTGGCTAATAAGGTATTTTTTGTTTTTGTTTTGTCAGTCGTGGGCCTGAACTCTGGGCCTGGGCACTGACCCTTAGCTCTTCAGCTCAAGGCTAGCGCTCTACCACTTGAGCCACAGTGCCACTTCCAGCATTTTCTGCTTATGTGGTGCTGAGGACTCGAACCCAGGGCCTCATGCATGCAAGGACAAGTACTCTACCACTGAGCCACCTTCCCAGCCCCTGTATTGGCTAATGAAAGTAGAGAATTTAAGGAGTCTGCAGTATGTCCATCAACTGTATAAAAACAAGAAAAAGCCCAAATGATCAAAGTAAAAACAAGATGGTAGTATCTTCTTTGTTTTGCTTTTGCATATGGTGTTATAAGTTCTGATGCTTGGAATTGGCAAAGTTTAGAAATGAGAAATCATTGTTTTGTTTTCTTTAAAATGGCAAATATAAGCCAGGCACTGGTGGCTCATGCTTGTAATCCTGGCCATTTCGGAGGCTAAGATCTGGTGATTAAAGTACACAGCTAAACTGGGCAGGAAAGTTCATGAGACAGTTATCTTCAATAAACTAACAAAAAATTCAGAAATGGAGCTGTGCCTCAAATGTTAGAGCATTTGCCTTGAGCCAAAAAATCTCTGGGATAGCGCCTGGGCATTGAGTTCAAGCCCCAGGACTGGATCAAAAAGTGAATAAATAATATGGCAGGCTGCGCATGTGGTAGAGTGCTTAGTGGTAGAGTGCTTGCCTATCATACATGATGCTGTGGGTTCGATTCCTAAGTACCACATAAACAGAAAAAGTCAAAAGTGGCTCTGTGGCTCAAGTGGTAGAGTGCCTTGAGCAAAAAAGAAGCCCAGGAACATGCCCAGGCTCTGAGTTCAAGCCCATAACTGGCAAAAAATAATAAATAAATGGCAAATACTTTTTATCAAATTTACAAAATTTGTATTTCTTCAAAAAATGAATAAAATTAATCACCTTATTTTTAATTACAGTTTCCTTCTATAATATCAAAATGAGCTTCTCTGTCTTTGATGAAGAGACAAGGATCCCTATCACCAGCGTTATACATGAATTTACAAAAGATTGGGTAAAATACTCTTTTGAATATTTATGATATATAAAATATATGTGACAAAGACTGATTAGATTAACACCAGACTTTGCTTTTTTCCTACTTATAATACATTTCACAGACAATTTTGAGGTTTTTCACTGCACATCTATTTACCCTGTAAGGAGCACTCTGAAGATCTATGCAATCTCTCTTTCATAGTACCAGTGCTAAAAGCATTATAGAATGTTATTATTTTCATTTCTCAGATGTGCACATTTCCTTCCACTGACACAAATTCTGAGTCATTGCCAAATTTTCTTATTTGAGGGAAAGAGGAGAGCAGTGATAACAAAGTTTATGCCATTGTATTTAAGTATCTGGTTTTTTTTGCATTTTTAACTTTTCTCTTTCTCCAGCATAATAAATGCTTTAGTTATTCTTATATTTTTATAGTGACAATAATATATAATCTCTGCAAAATAATTCCCCTATTGACATCTAAAACAGAAAATTCGTGTCCTCTACTGTTCTTGTTTGAATTAATACTCTTTGCTATTACTGGCGCTAAACTCAGGACCTTGACCTCTCATTAAACTTATTTGATGGTACTCTACCACTTGAGCCATACCTGCACTTTTGGCTTTTTACTGGTTAATTGGAGATAAGATTCTTATGGATTTGTCTGCTTAGGATGGCTTCAAATCTTGTCATATCTTAGCCTTCTGACCAGGTAGGATTATATGCGCGAGCCACTGCTGCCCAGCTTGCATTACCTACTTTTAATTAAGTAGGTAATTTTATTTAGGTATATTTAATTAGGTATATTCTTTTATATTTTATATACATATGTGTTGATACATATATATTTTCACAAAATAATTAGAATCATACTATTTATGATATTCTTCAAGTTGCTTTTCCACCCCTTACTTACCCATGTATCCTTTTCTTTACTTTTTTCATGTATGAGTTGTAGAGTGTAGAATCCAGGGATTTGCACACGGTCAACAAGCACTCTACATACATCTCTAGCCCTTAAATTTGCACCGTTGAGCATATTTTCTTCTACCTCATACACTTTAATATTTCATTATATTTCATAATATTTCATCATTTATTTGTAACATAACGTTTTGTTTTGCTCTTGAATCCAAACATGCATGGGGGGCATTTAGATTATTTCTGTTTTTAAACAATACTGAAAACAATGTTCTTGTGGCACGTTATTTTGGAAGACCCAAGTGTTTCTATAGTATTAATTCTTCAGATTATTGAACGAAAATTCACAAAGTTATATCGAGCTGGGTGCCAGTGGCTCATGTCTGTAATCTTAGCTACTCAGGAAGCTGAGATCTGGGGATTGCAGTTTGAATCCAGCCCAGGCAGAAAACTCCCCATGAGACTCTTATCTCCAATTAACCACTCAAAAGCCAGAAGTGGCTCTGTGGCTCAAGTGGTAGAGCACTAGCCTTGAGCACAAAGACTCTCAGGGATAGTACCCAGGCCTTGAGTTCAAGCCCCACAACTGACAAAAAATAGTTATATCTAAACAGTCTTCCAGATGCCAACTTGTACCTTCAATTCAACAATGAATAGATCATATTGATTTCTTTTCTCCCCACTGGCACTTATTTTAAAATGTATATGATATGACTGCAAGTGTCTAAACATGGGCGGCGGTATCATACCAGTTTGCTTAGGCTGCCATCCACAGATACACAAGACTGAGTGACTTGAAAAGAGAACAAAGCAGCAGACAGTTTCCAGAGTTCTGGGTGGAGGTATAAAACATCAAGATCAAGATACTGGCAATACTGGTTTCTGGTGGCATGTCTCTCCATAGAAGCTTTCAGATGGCTATCTTATTGTTGTGTCTTCAAATGCTCTGTTTGCATGAATCTCTTTTTTTTTCTATTACAAGAATATCAATTAGATTGGATCCAAGTTCTAATTTTAGTTAATTCACCTTAATTACTTCTAGAATGGCCTTATCTCCAAATACAAACAAATTGGGGGTTGGAGTTTCAACATTTGAATCAGAAAGAGCACAATTTAGTTCATAACAAGGTGCAAAATGTAAATTGACAGATTGAGTCAAGCAAATGGAAATGTTGATCTTGCTGAAATAATGAATGCTGTCACACCATTCCACATAGCTTTGCTGGGTTAAAGTAGAAGCAGGTATGTGAAAAGTAATTTTTTTTTACTTCTTTTACAGTTGAACTCGATATTTCAAGACAGTGAATTTTATCTTACTAATCTGGCTATTCAAATTAAAAGCAGGTATGTGAGTGATTTTTTTGGGGGGGGTGTTAAACGACAATTTGAGAACATCCTGGATCTGTTCGTACCCAAAAGGGGTTACTCATGTCTTTGCCTAGGATTTAGAGACTGCTACATTTAGAGTTTTATCTTCTCTTCTGAGAATACATTCTTTTTTAGAATGAGGATAACAGTAGTCTTACTGGAGAGAATAAAGCTACTGGAAGAACAAAACAGAAAAAAAGAAGGTGAAGTTGCAGTGAAATAGGACTCATTTTATACAAGCCACTCCTGTGGGTGACTTGTAATCCAGTCCCATGTGGTGAGAACTCACTCACATGAGCAAGTATCAATCCATTTATGAGACCACTGTTCTCATGGCCCAACCACTTGTCACTGAGATCCCACCTTCCAACACTCCCATATAGAAGACCATGCCTCAACATGAGACTGCCTAGCTTCTTATGCTAGGACATTGGTTTCTCTTACATGTTCAAATATAAATAGAATGAAGCAGATTTATATAAATTAATAGAAGTGAATCCATCATTGGTTATGGTCTGGGTGGCTTCCACCACAGAAATTTATTCCGCATTGTTCTGGAGGCTTGAAAGTCAGCATAGTCAAGTCCTTGTGAAAATTGCCTTGTTGTATCCACATGTGACAGAGAAGAGGGAGAGGAAGCTCTCTGCCCCTAATGACTCATACATACTAATCCTGCTCATGGAAAGTATGCCCTCAAGCAGTAATTATCTCCCAATGGCCATACCTTCTAATCTCCCCTTCATAGGCTTCCAAATATGAAGGAAGGACAAATATTCAATCCTTAACAGTTATGAACAGATAATTTGAAATAGTTTGAAATAATAATTTGAAATAGTTTGGCTATACAACATTCTTTTAATAATTGTCTATTGTTGTTTCTTATTGCAAAAGTAATATTGTGGCCGCTGTAAAATCTTACAGGTTTGTAGAAATCTATGATAGGAATGGTTAAAATCTCTAAAGCCTTGCCTCTCCACACCCCTGAAAATCCTCTTGTAGACAGCTATTTAACATATTCTTTAGTTTTTTTCTTGTGTGATTGCTAGGGAGATAAGTTTCTACTACTAGACACACACACATGCATACATATATGTATGTATATATAAACTGTCTAGTAACTTTCTTTTTCATAAAAATCTAGTTTATTCATTTTAATTGTTGCTTAAGATTCTTTTGTATGAAGCAAACAATGTATCTATTCAATTGTCTAGTGATGACTATTAGAGTAATTCTTTCATTTGTGTGTAAATACACATATGTATATGTGTGTGTATATATATATATATGTATATATTTATATTACTTGCTTCTACCACTATGGGATAGTTTCCTGGAAAGATGACTGAACCAGAAGCTAACAGTATTTCTGTATGCATATAACGACCAAACTCATTTCAAAGGTCCCTTTGGAGGCACAGGGATATTTGACTTCTGAGCTGGTGGTACTTTGCTGTTCTGTCTCAGAGTTGCCTTTATCCTAGTTTTGCTCATTGTGTGTGTTGTACTACATTTCATTTCTTTTGTAATTTTGTGATGTTTTTGACACAGAGACACTTCTAAGGAAGAAATGGCCATGTACCGATATATTGTAAGTAATTTATAAAAATGAGTCTACTTGAGACCATCCTATCTATTATTAGATATAAGTAAACAGCTCTTCTGCCCAAGCAGAAGAGTATTGTCAAGCAAGGTGCAGTGGTGGCAACTGGGGGTCAAATTATATTATTTCCTTTGGAAATGACACAAGAACCGATCAAGAAAATCCTGTCCTGCTGTTCAGAACATGATATTTTCTTGAGGCACATTTTGTGGTCTATAGCAGTGTGGAATGACTTGAGGATTATATATAAGATAGTAGAAGTTTGTGATTGATTGTAGATATCTTTCAAAAAAAAACCCTGTCTCTTTCAAGAGTGACACTATTGTTTACATTATATGGTATTTACATAATCTAAACCCATTATAATCTACCCTCTGCAGATTTGCTGTCAAAATGTTACAAAGATATTTTGCATCATTTTTGGCCCAAATTTCTGTATTTCTTCCAGTGTCTTAAAGCTTTACAATGGTGTACTCCAAAATGATAAGAAAGCACACAGCTTTCAAGGTATTTCAATGAGATAAATATTTTGACTATCCTAAATACAGTCAAGTCTACAGTGTAATTCCAAATCATTTGCCATCATTTAATATACTTTCTGTAAATAGTTGTCCGAATTTTAACAGTTAACACATTATAGGTAATGATAGAACTAATATTCTTGTCAAACAATAGGTGCAAAAGCTTTATGGTAATAATCTGGTCAAGTTGCCTTGGTTGGAATCCTTGCTCCTACACTTCCCAACTGTGAGAACCGGGCAAGTAAAACAAGCTCTTTATGCCTCGGTTTCCATATCTGTACAATTAGGGCTGTTAAAAAGAGAGAATTACATAATTTGTGCTAAATGCTTAGAACAGGACTTGGTAAGTATTACACACTTCCTGGGATTGTTGTCAACACTATGTTAAAATCCAGATCTAGAAGATTTTACTCCTAGTTCTGTAACTTTTCCTCTGTGTGATAATGGGAAGATTATTTAGCTTGAGACTCAATTTACTCCTCTAGAAAATGGGTTGACCCTGTATTAGAAATGGACTATACAACTTGTGGGGAGAGGAATCTGGGTTAGGGAAAGCTGGAGAAAATGAGGGAGAGAGTAACATTGTTCGACAAGAATTGTATTGTTTCCTTACTTATGTAACTGCAAACCCCTCTGTATATCACCTTTACAATCAAAACAAGAAAATGGGTTGACAATTACCTCACACCAAGCCTTGTATTACACACCATACAAACTTGGTGTGAGAACTAAGTGCATTAATATTGTTTTTGTGCTGGTCCTGGGGCTTGAACTCAGGGTGTGGTCACTGTCCCTGAGCTGTTTTTGCTTAAAGCTAGCCCTCTACCACTTGAGCCACAGTTCCACTTCTGGATTTTTGGTGATTGAGATTAATAGTCTCATGGGCTTTGCTACTTGGGCTAGCTTTGAAAGGTGACCCTCAGATTTCAGCCTCCTTAGTAGTTAGAATTTCAGGAGTGAGCCACCAGCACCTCTTTACATTAACATTTTTAAGGGTAATTTGCAGATGGCATGGGTTATGTAATTGTAAATTACATTTAGGAATGTTGTTGTTTTAACAGTAATCTGCTTACTCAATTTTGACATTTGTTTAAAGATTTCAGTGACTATGTACTTTTCTTTTGCATCAGTTAGGACAGAGAGAAGGGCAAGAAATGGCTACAATTTCCCATGTACCATACAGGTAGGAGCTGAATTTATTCGTAGCTGGTACATTTAGTTCTGATTTTCCTTCCATTTAATTCTGTATGTGTAATGCATTGGTCAGATGTGTCAGAAGGAGATCAAAGTACCTGTGGTTATTTTTCAGATACTGTAATTGGACTCTTGCCTTCGTAAAATAACTTGTTTTGGTTTGGTCATGACACAGTCTAGCAGCCAGCCTGCTCTCTCTTTGTGTGAAGAAAAAAATGAATTTTAAAGTTATTACAATTTGGGGATGGGGAGATAAAGTGTTTGTTGTGGTCCATTCAATGCTGCACAGGGAAAGCATCTTCAGTCCTGTTCAAACTCGTGGCCCAGATTCTCCTGGAGTCATTGGCTTTTGATTATCTGCTTGATATATATGATGAAGGATACATAGTCAAAGATAGGGCACGAAGAGATAACTAGAATGGTCACAGTACCAGAACAGAGGATTTCTTACAAGTAAAAGGAGACTTTGTGTGTGTGTGCCAGTCCTGAGGCTTGAAATCAGGGCGTGGGCGCAGTCCCAGAGCTCTTTCTCTCAAGGCTAGCACTACTATTATTTTGAGCCACAGCTCCACTTCTGGTTTTCTGGTGATTAGTTGGAGATAAGAGTTTCAAAGACTTTTCTGCCTTGGCTGGCTTCTAACTGTGATCCTTAGATCTCAGCCTCCTGAGTAATTAAGATTAAAAGTGTGAGTCTCTAGTGCCTGGCTTAAAACGAGATTTAAAAAAAATATGACTGCTCTTCAAGCTGGAAATACAACAGCTTCAAGGAGAGTACTGCCAAATGGAATGGATAAGATGAGCAGGGATTTCATTGCATACAGGGTCAAGGGATGTGGAGTTATTGTTTAGACAAACAGAAATTTTGAGGAAGAACAGGGATATCTAACTTTTAACAGTAAACAGGGAACTCAGCAAGTGTGTTCTGAAAGGCTATGTATATAAATGCAAATAAACAAAGACAGATAAATTTGTAAAACTGAAATGTTCAACCTAATGGGATATAGTTAAGGACGTCACTATAGAGGTCAAGGTCAAGGTCAACAACAGCCTTTTCTCACAATGCATCTTTCAAGTGGACAGAAGTTTGGGGTAAGTCTTTGTGGTTAAGAGCAATGCCATCTCCCTAAACCTCAATTTTGCCATCTGTAGAATAGGAATCATAGTGCTCCTTCAAAGGGCTGTTGTGAGGGGAAAATGAATTTATCATATGTTAGCTACACAGATGTTAGCTATCATTGTAGAATAAGCTGTCTTCAGAACAGACGTATATAGACTAATTGGGGACATGCCTATTTGCCTTATTGCAGTAAATAAATTGGAGATCAGAACAATAAGAGGTTTTCTCCAAAATAACTTGGGAATTCTCCATCTTTTCTCTTAATTCTTACAAACTCCTAGAGAAATCTCCTAGTTAGTCTATTTCAACCTAATACAAATATTGCTGACTATCATTTTGAAAATGAGTTTTGAGCTGTCCATTTTGAATATAAGAAAATTACTCAGATTTCAATATGCTGTCTTTCTTAACATTTGTCCCTTAATAGCTATAAAATGAGATTCTATGTACTACCAATTAAGAGAACTATGCAGAATTTCAGCATTGCAGGCAAAGTTGCGCTCCATTGATATAATGGTAGTATTTTCTTTTGTGTCTTGTTTTATTTTAGCTGTGCTTGTCAAGTTATTATAAAGGCCAACTCCTCTTTACCACCCATGGACTTGATCAGCAGAATCAAAAGAAAAATACATGGTAACTTCACGCATGGGAGCTTCACACAAGATCAACTGACGTTATTAGTAAAGTCTGATCACGTAATAGTGAAAAAGCTAGGTAATTATTTTGGTGGAGCCTTTCAGTGTGAATTCATTTTCCTTATTACAGAAGTCATCATGCATATATTTTGAGGGATCCTAAGTTGTGAAGGAAGAAGAATCAACTTTCCACATCCTCAATATTCATTTGTCTCCAACGACGTGTGTGCATGTGCATGCCTGGTGTTTGAACTCTGGATCTGGGCTCTGTCCCTGAGCTTTATTGCTCTAGGCTAGCACTCTACCACTTGAGCCATAGCACCACTTCCAGCTTTTTGATGGTAAATAGGAGATAAGAATCTCACAAACTTGCCTGCCTGGGTTGGCTTCAAAGTATGATCCTCAGACCACAGCCTCAAGAATAGCTAGGATTACAAGCATGAGCCACTGGTGCCCGACATGATTTTTCTAATTCTAAAAGCTTATAAAAGAGTCGAGAGAATGAGGGAAGGAGTGAAGTTACCCAAAAGGAAATGTACGCATTACCTGAGTATGTAAATCTAACCAATCTGTACATCATCTCTATAATAACGATAAAATAAATACAAACAAATTTAAAAAATTTAAAAGAAAGAAAGGGCAATGAGACCATTGCTTGCTTGTGGATATTACCATTGAAAAGCCCATCCACAAAGCTGAAGGATTCTCTCTTGCATAAATTCTCATACACTTGGAAGTTTCACTACTGCACTTGACAATATGCCCTATTAGATACTTGCTAATGTATTGATTCATTCCACCATTCTATTCATCTTGGCAAGTGATCTAGGAAGTCTCCCTGATTTCTCTCCTGTGCATTCTCTTTTCCAGTTAAGGAAATTTTAGTGTTGCATACAAAGGCTACAAGGCCCTTCACACTTTTTCTCTTTGCTTCCAGCTTTATTCCTTTTGCTTTGTAGTCTGCTGGAAAAACTTTGACTAACTTTGACTAACCCCACACCCCCATACACATAGGTACTAGAAGCCATCATTCTTGGCAGCAAGCTAATTAAGTAGCAGAGGGCAGGCTGTGGTTTGTCAAGGAATAAATGGGATAACGGCAAAGAATTGTAAAGATTACATACAGCCACCCACCTTGCAAATGACACTAGCAAATATGCCTTGAAAATGATCAGGAAGCATCTTTCTTCCTCAATCCCAGAGGAGGCTGAGATGACTATACATGCCTGGTTGAGTCACTTTTTGAGCCAGCTTGTCAACACCTAAGGGAAAGATTTCCAGAGTCAAAATCATGTCCCTAGTAGTGCTTAATGAAACTGGGAAACTTACTCCCTGGAACTAGCCTAGACTACATCTCCCTTAGTGGGACAATGCATGTGAACAGCCTTCTGCCTAGCAGTCTCCCACCAAGGAGTTCTACCCTCTCAACAACAGCATTAGAAATAGCTTCTTTGTCTACAGATCCACCGAGTTTACTTAATCCACCAAGTTTACAGTCCATTAAGAAGGAAGTGCCAAAGCCGGGTGCCAGTGGCTCACGCCTGTAATCTTAGCTACTCAGGAGGCTGAGATCTGAGGATCATGGTTCAAAGTCAGCCCAGAAAGAAAAGTCCATAAGACTCTTATCTTCAATAAAACCATTAGAAAACCGGAAGTGGAGTTGTGGCTCAAGCGGTATAGCACTCACCTTGAGCTGAAAGAACACAAGGACAGTGCCCAAACCCAGAGTTCAAGCCCCATGATAGACCAAAAAAAAAAAAAAAGAAAAGAAAAGAAACTAAAAAAGGAGGTGCCTCTCTAACCTACAGCCAGTCTGCTTTTGTTTATGCATCAAACTGGCAATGGTAGGTACTTTGTAAGAAAGGCAATTGTCAATGTTTTATCTAATGCCTCTTTGTGTGGTTTGATTTTTCACAAAGTGTGTGTGTGTGTGTGTGTGTGTGTGTGTGTGTGTGTGCACTGTATTTTAAAACAACCATAAACTGAAAGCCTTTCCTGTGAATTGGTGGTTTTAATGAAAAGGACTAAACTGGTGGTGGTTAAACTGGAGAGTTTATTTAAACAAAAAAGACTCCATTTTAAGCTATTTGCAATGATGCCTAGTTCATATATCCTGATTGAAACCATTTCCTCTTTTTATTTGCTGCTGTTTATGCACAAGGTAATAATGATGGCTTATACTGAATGTTTATGATGTTTGTAAGTGCCTTTTCCCACCCCCCAAATGTGCCTACATTTCCTCTGCAGAGCCAGGAAAGTGTGAAGCAGATGATACACCATCTATATACAAAGGGACTTATCAATGGCTGCTAACTGACCCTACTGAGACAGCCCAGAGTAGATGCATAAAAAACAAGAATGGAAATGCTACAAGAATCTGGTATGTACCCATCAGGTTCTCATGGCTGTTTTACATCCACCAAGATCTGCTTAGTGGAAAACATGTTTCTATGTCATTTGTCTGCGTGTGCTCCCTCCCCTATCTCTCTTCTGTTGGATTTTCACTCTTTGCACTTAAACATACACTTGCAGTATAATAAGAAAAAAACTTCAAGAAGACAAAAGAGGAAGTCACTTATTATTCAGCCACCTGAATAGCTCTTTTGAAGCTGGCATGTCCTTCTATGTTTTCCCTCTCTCTCAATCTTACCTTTGCCTACACACCTATATAAGTTTTTTGTAGTGGTAATCATCGGTATCAAACCAATAATGCAATTTAACTTTTCACTCAATAGTTCATCAAATATTCTGCATGGTTTACATTCACTTTTTTTTTAAATGATCAGTTCAAACAAATGGCCTCAGATGCGGTCATGGATGGGCCATAATAATTTACCAAATTACCCTTCTATTGTTGAATTTATCATTTTCCATTTTTAAAAAATCAGCCCTCTTCTCTGACTCTCTGCTATTAATGGTTTAGGCCATTAATGTAAGTAGGCAAGACTACAAGGCAGCAACAGAGGTTTAAATGCCCTCTTAAGCCACATCTCTGACTGTACCCTACCTTTTCCTGCCTATATCTAATCAGTCAGCATGGTAGGCACCTCTGGCAGCCACAGTTTGAGCCTATATCTAGGCTCTCCTCTTCAACCCAGTGCTTGATATGTAAGCCTTTAGTAGCTTTTGTCTGTTATTAGGGCAGTCTCCATGCCTTGCAACCATCTATAACTCCCTACCTGTCTTCCCCACTGCTGTCAGCATGATTTTTTGAAAGTCTGATTGCCTTCGTGTCACACTCTTGTGGAAGAAGGAAATCCCCACCACTAAATGCAGTGTTCAAGACTTCAGACTCCCTTTCCTATTGGCTTATCTCCTAGGTTCCTATTCTTTACCGTGTCCTCCAGCCCTACTGGCAATTTGTTATTGTGGATTCAACGGGCATTTCCTTGTCTCTGCTTAGAAGTTCAAATGGGTGCTACACATTTCTGCTCCATCTCTGTCCTCTCAGTGTGAAGCTCCTCTTAGTTCAAGCATGGAAAGAAAGTTCTCCTTTCTTGGAGGTTTGATTGATTTACTTTTGTTAACACAGCTTCTCTATCATTTTGCCTAGTTTTAGAGAGTTTACATTCAGTCTGCAACCACTGAATTGCAGGCTCTAGAGGTAGGCTCACAGTCCCACCCTACCTGTCTGTGCTACCTCTTATCCTGTGGTGTATCAGGTGCTCAAAGAGTGCACTGGGTGCTTTGAAATGAGTTGCATTGGGTGAGGCACAGGGGGAGGATCGATGATGAGGCCAATATGATGCAATGCTTTCAACACCAGAGACTTGAACAAAATGAAGATGTGGAGATAGATTTGAGAAATTAGGTGCATTTCTAAATAGAGGTTTCCTCTTCCCTGCTCCATTTCTAGCTACTGGGCTTCCACTTGGCCAAGAGGCTAAGGGTGGGTGAGAGGGATAAATCCTTCATTGAGAAAGCTAAGTAATGCATCTTATCCCTCCCTTTCTTCCTTTTCAGTTCAATCAGCATCCAAACAGGCAAGTCCCTGTGGGAAAAACCAAGGTTTAAGCAATGCAAGTTGCTTCAAGGACTTCCTGATAAGATTGTGGATCTTGCTAATGTGACCATAAGTGATGGTAAGGTGTCTTTCACACGTTGAAGAAATCATTGAACCTCAATTTGTTTGCCATATTTCCTGAGACCAGCAAGAGTAGACACAAAGCTTCCATCATTAACATCTTCCTTAAACAAATCCCAGTCCAGATAGATAGTGGTTGTGGAGTGGGGTGCAGGAGAAGTTGGGACTGTTGTTTTTTGTTTGGCTTTATGATTATGATTTCTTTTTAAATTTTATTTTCTTGTAAAGATGCTGTACAGAGGGGTTACACTTACATGAGTAAGGGAATGAGTACATTGCTGGTCAAGCATTGTCACCCCCTCCTTTGTTTTTCTACTATCCCTTCCCAATTCCACCTTCTCCACTCCTCCTTCCACCCTGAAGGAGTAAAGTTCATTTCCAACATAGTATCTTGTGAGTATCATTGTTGCAATGGGCCAATTCTATTTTATGACTCATTATTATTTTCCATTTTATTTATTTACTATTTATTTTGCAGTATGGTGTCTTGAACCCAGGGCCTCGTGTTCATTTGGCTTGCTTGTTCCGCTGATGCTGTACACTTGAGCTTTTTGTTTTAGTCATGTTTCCAGATAGGTTCTCACAGTTCATGACGAGGCTGGTCTTGGATTTCAATTTCCCCACCTACGCTTCTTGTTTAATTAGGATTGCAGGCATGCCCGACACAGCTTGTTTGTTGAGATGGGGAGGGATTAACAGCAACTTTTTGCTTCAAGTTTTTGAACTTTAATCTTGTCTTTACCTCTCCAGTAGCTGAAGTTGTAAGAGTGAAACACGGCACTCAGTCTCAAAAACACATTGTTATTGGTATATAAAATGGTTCAGAGCTGGCGTTCTCGAAGCAGCTTGTGTAGAAGGTTGCATTTCTATTAAAAATGTATTTGTAGGCCAGGTGCTGGTGACACATGCCTACAATATCAGCTACTCAGGAGGCTGAAACTTGAGGATCTTGTTTCAAAGCCAGCCTGAGCAGAAAAGTCCAAGAGACGGTTATCTCCAATTATACATCAAGAAGCTAAAAGTAGTAGAGTGAAAAAAGATAAGCAAAAACTGAAAAAGAGAAACAAAAGTATTAGATCTTATGTTCAAAACCCAGTACAAGCATCCACATAGACACACAGTTGCTTTTATAGAAATGAATTCGTTTTCGGTTTTGGTCTGTGCCATTTTGTGACTGTATTCCATATTGTTAAATAAAAGAGATTCAAAATAAGGTGCATGTCTTTAAAATACATGGAAGCTGAGTGCTGGTGGCTCATGTCTGAAATCTTGGCTACTTAGGAAGCTGAAATCTGAGGACACAGGTTCAAAGCCAGCCCAGGCAGGAAAGTCTTTGAGACTCTCATCTCCAATCAATCACCAAAAAAGCTGAAAGTGGAGCTATAGCTCAAGTGGTAGAGCACTAGCCTTGAGCACAAAAGTTCAGAGACAACACCCAAGCCTGGTGTTCAAGCCCTAGGACCAACACACACACACACAAACACACACACACACACACACACACACACACAAATCAAACACAATAAAAAAGAACTATCTCTGTAATGGATGACACACATAGGTTGAAATGTTGTACAAACACAGTATACCTGAGAATGGAATTGCTAGGTCAGTCACACTTTTGATGGTATCAGCATACTCCTGCTTGCAAGGTAGGAAACTGTCTGATTCCAAATACCATAAGCAACATGGTGTGTTATCCAACTTTTGGACCTTTACTGATTTGATTCCCCAAAATTGTTATCTCAATATAGTTCACGAAATCTTTAATGGATCTAGTCACAGATCACTCACGTAATCTGTATAGTTCCATGGTATTTTTTCAAGGAGTTTAGCTCATTCATTATGCTGTATGATTATCATCAATAATTTCAAGATATTTTCATTACCCTGAAAAGTAACTCTGTACCCCAGTAGCAACATTTCCATTTCTCTCCCTTTGGTTTCAATTTCTATCTGTATGAATTTTACTTATTCTGGTCTTCTTACAATGACTTTGGGGGTTGTTCATGCTGTAGGTCACAACGTTTGTAATGATTAAATAATACTCTATTATATAGATATAATATTCACTCATGGATTTTGGGGATTTGGTTTTTTCACCAAGATTATTACTAACAGTCTAGTATGAACATTGGTAGACAAATTTTTTTGAAAAAGTATTTTTTATTGTGAAAATACTGTACAGAGGGGTTACAATTACATGAGCAAGGTAATGAGTACATTTCTTTTATTTTTTTATTGTGAAAATACTGTACAGAGGGGTTACAATTACATGGGCAAGATGATGAGTACATTTCTTATCAAGCATTGTAGCCTCCTCCTTTGTTTCCTTTTCCCATCCCTTCACAGCCTCCCCCCGCCCCCTACCCACCCAATCCTCCCCCCCAACCAAAGTTGTAAAGTTCGATTTTGACATGAGTACATTTCTTATCAAGCATTGTTGCCTCCTCCTTTGTTTCTCCTTCCCATCTCTTCCCATCTCCCTCCTCCGTACCCCCCATAACCCACCCTGCCCTCCTCCCCCGCCAAAGTTGTAAAGTTTGTTTTTCGATATAACCTCTTGTACATCTCATTGTTGCAGTGGGTCCACCTGTATCCCTATTTAAACAATTTGTTTTTTCCCTTCCCCTCCACAAATTATACCAACATCAAATACAGTGAAAACAGAAGTTACACTGTGGGGGAAGGACATACAAAGCAGCAAAGAAATCATCAACTTATCTGACCTTTTCTGCTTGTCTCAGACATATACTAGTTATTGCAAATAAGGGAAACCATGGGACCTATGTTTCTTTGGGCCTGGCTTACTTCACTTAATATAATTTTTTCCAAGTCTTTCCATTTCCTAACAAATGAGGCAATGTCATTCTTTCTGATGGAGGCATAGAATTCCATTGTGTATATATACCACATTTTCTTGACCCATTTATCTACTGAGGGGCATCTGGGTTGGTTCCATATCTTAGCTATGGTAAATAATGCTGCAATCAACATAATTGTACTGGTAGCTTTACTATGGTCTTGTTTGTGATCATTTGGGTAAATGCCCATAAGTGGGATTGCTGGGTCAAGGGGAGCTCTATGTGGAGTCTTTTGAGGAACCTCCATACTACTTTCCAAAGTGGTTGAACAAGTTTACACTCCCACCAACAATGCAGTAAGGTTCCCTTCTGTCCACATCCCCTCCAGCATCTGTTGTTATTAGAGTTCTTGATTATAGCCATTCTAACTGGGGTGAGGTGGTATCTCAATGTTGTTGTGATTTGCATTTCTTTTATGGCTAGAGAGGTTGAGCATTTCTTCATGAGTCTATTGGCCATCCTTCTTTCCTCTTCAGAGAAGTTTCTCTTTAAATCTTTAACCCACTTATTTATTGGGCAGTTGTTTCTTTGAGGATTTGTTGGATAATTTTTGTGGCCGTATGTTTTCCTCTCTTGGAGGAGCTACACAAGAATTTTCCACAGCAACTATGCAATTTTTCTTATCCCTGCTGATACTGCAGTTCCCAGTTTCCTCCCATTTTTATAAAGGTTTGTTTGGTCCATTTATTAGAATAGCATTGATGGTAATGTCCACTCTCTAGCCATATACCTTCATTTATGAGTTGTTTCTTAATTCTTTTTGTCTTGCTAATTCTAGCTAAAAGGTTTGAATTTTTAATTCTTCATAAAATTTCGGTTAACAATGGAGTTGAACTGAAAGTACAGAATCACCTTGTGGGTCACTCTGATACAAATACAGCAGAGTGATAACAGCAGCAGAGTGATAGCATTTATTACCATTGATGTCCTGCACTGACACATCACGTCACCAAACTTCATTTGCACAAGTTTGTATTGACATGTGTACACAAGCAGAGGACCACAGAATCATCTCACTGCTCTCACTTATTCACCCCTCCCACCTTACTAATCATTGGCAAACAATGGCTATTTTAATGGTCTTCAATGTTTTTGCCTTTTCCCAAAGTCATTCTCTATGCAGCCTTTTTATATTTACTTCCTATCCCTAGTAATATACATTTAAGTTTCCCATATGACTTATCATGATTTATTCATTCATTTCTTCTTAGCACGATTACTCCATTACCTAGACAACCAGTTTGTCCATTCACCTGCTGAAGGACATGTTGGTGATTTATAACTTTTGGCAAGTATGAATGAGCTAGCTATAAATACAATGCAGGTTTTTTTTTTAACATGGATGTGTTTTTGACATATTTCTAAACGTCAACAAGTGTGTGACTCCTGACTTGTTTGGAAAGCATTTTGTAAGAAATTGCCACACCTTCCAAAGTGTCTGTGTCATGTTACATTCCCATGAGCAGTGAGCGAGAGCGTCTCTTGTTCCATTAGCACTTAGGGTTTTCAGGGCTTTGCATTTTAGCCATTTCAATGGGTGCGTGTTCATTTTTTCATTTTTAAAAACTGCTTAACCCTTTTCACAATTAACAAATAAAAGTTGTGTACTTTTATGGTATACAACATGTGTTTATGGTTGTTTTAATTCGTAGTTCCCCAGTGCCATATATTGTGTTGAATATCTTTTCATATTCATACTTATCATCTATGGATCTTGTTTTTTTGGTGGTGGTGGTACTTGGATTTAAAATCAGGGCCTTGCACTTACTCAGCCAGTGCTCTACTACACAGGTCATGCTCCCGGCATTTTTTGTTGTTATTTTAATGAATAAGGTTTCACTTTGTGCCTATGGTGACCCAGACTGTGATTTCCTATTTATGCTTCCCACAAAGCTGGGATAAGAGGCATATATATATATATATATATATATATATATATATATATATATATATATATGCCAACACACAGCTTTTCAATAGTTGAGATGTCTTGTGAGGCATGGCTGGCCTCAAATCAGGATCCTTTGGATTTCTGCCTCCTGAGTAGAGAGGATGATAGTCATGAGCCATCATGTTTGGCATCATCTGTATATCTCTTTCAGTGAAAAGGATGCTATAAATGAATATTTATTTA